ACTTAAATCTCAGCACCCTGGCACACAGCAGAAAAATGCATTGCTGTTGTCAGAAACGCAACGCTTGCTGTCGTCCTACATGGGCGTCCTCTAATACTAGAGCCCAGCGGAGGCTTCACACCGCAAAGCATTTATTTTTTATTTCTCCTCCTCCTGCAGCAACTTTTGATGGCTATAACAATTCTTTCTAAATCTAAAGCAAGCTCTAATGTGTGGCTTTTTCTAAGAAAACTGCCTGAGTTCGCCTGCGCTGCTGTAACTGTGGTCTTAACGCAGACGTATTTCCAAAATGATCCTGGTATTTGGTAAGACAATTTGCATCAAAAGTGAAAAGGGACTGAAACCACTAAAAAAGCTCAAGATGAACCTGCAAATTGCAGGCCCTGACTCTGATCTCATGGATTTCACAGAGGTTTGATTTAACAGATGTGCGGCTTTGTAAAAGCAACATAATTTGACTGATTTAAAAAAAAACTATGAAAATTCACGTCAGCTGAGGAGCCAGTCCTCCAGGTTCCTTGCCAAGGGCTGGAAAATAAGAAAACCCTTTGGCAAAAATGGTCAATATTTTGACCAAAATCTGAAAGTCTTTAGAAACTTCCCTGGGATCTGCATGAAAATAAGGAGAGCCTGTAACCCAAAGCAGCCCCTAGCGCAGTGCTGGGAACGTGTGTACAGGAGCTTTAGGTTATTCCGGTAAAAATCCAGGCATGGAAATTTTCATAGTGGGGATTATGACCCTGTATTTCCTCCCCATGGGAATTTTGACCACAAATTCCAACCAGGAATTTCCTTAACTAACCTGACATGTCCCCACAGAGACCTGTCATTTCAGCAAACTGCTCCTTCCAACCAAAAATATCTTGCTGAAAATTTTTCAGACAAGTTTATTCTATACACATGATTACTCAGAAGTCATATTATTGTATGAGACATTTTAGCAAATGCTTATTTAAAAAAAAAAAAAGGTCTTTTCCACAAATGAGACTGCCCCAGGTTAATACAAAACATGATTATAAACTGATTTTATTAAACTAATTCAAAGGACTGAGTGGACTTTTTCATTTCAGTTTAAACCAGCTCAATTTTTTTCTGTTTTAATATGATTAGGAACCTGCCATGTTCAAATAGAGATCAGAGCACCGAAAAAGGGTAACCAAATTGCTGCCAGCCTGGGTGATGATAAGGCTGATTCAATCAATGCTGATAACAGCCAAGGGTCATCCATGTCCCTTCTGAAGGTCCCTCCAGGATTAAGGCATGCATGCATTGGGAAGGATGTTACTCTTTATTTAGTACAAATTTTAACATATAACTAATATAATAATAACCTAAATGCAAATAAATATAATTAAACTGGAAAGACATCCATATTACCATTAAGAAAAAGTCATTTATATCTTTTTTTTTTTAATCTCTAGGTGGGATCCCATGTTTCCAGTAAAACCCTTCCTCCTCCAGCTAATTCTACTTGGCAGGATGGGTTGAAATATCAATGCTGGGCCCATCCTATAAATTCCTCTCTTTGAAGAGAAGCTATCGGGTATGCTTCAAATTCATCTGAAGGACCCAGAAATTCTCCATCGATTTCAACAAGCTTTGGCTCAAGCCTTTAATGCCCTGTAGCTAGCCTTACAGTGCAAGATGGACTGGAAGGGTTTTCACTGATAAGCCTTCTAACAACAGTCACTATGCATTTCCCAAACAAATGTGCTGAAAAAGAGTCAGAGAACTAGTCACATAATTGTTGATAAAATAACAACAACAAAAAAAGGCACAGGAAATATTTGTTATCCTTATTTATTTAATAAAGAAACATAATAAATTTGAATTTTTCCAGGTACAAACAGCTTAATACGTCCTATGATATTGGCTGATATTTTCCTTGCTCTTTTCGTAGCTTGAGTGATTCATGTGGTAGCCATTATTGAACAAATCAACCGAAAAAATGGTAGCACTCACCATGCTTATAGACAGTGTGGGCCAACTATGGAGCTAGTGTCTTTAACTAAATCACTGCACCCGGAGCCTGTGTCATTGCTAGATTCGGATCAGCATCTCCATTAATAAAGATCTGCAAGTGAGGTTATTTGAAGTTTTGGAGGGGAGTTCTGCATACCACACAAAGATACCATTCCCTCCTCAGCTCTAAAGAAATGTGCCCCAAAACAATAGAAAACCCAATAGAAAACCAACCTTCCAGTTACAAAGGTTTTGAAAGTAATTTACAATTCCATTTTAGAAAGTTGCACTGTAAACATCTATAGTTAAGACCCTCTTTCAGATTTTTTTTGCATTGTGGGTTTTTTTTTTTTACAGGTTTTTGGGTAGAAGACAGAACCATTTGTAATTGCATCAGTACTGTAGGGTCTCACAGCAATGACAATAAAATGTTCAACGCAAGGGTGAAATGATCAGAGGAAGAGCTCTTCTCTCATATAATCAGTGACCAGCTAATCGTCCCATTACATCCTGTTCATTACTGGGTCTGACTCTTAATAATAATAATAATAATAAGTTGAAAATTTTCTAACATAAATTGCAAATAATTAAAATATTTTTAAAAGAGTATGATCAACACCGCACTGCTGAGCACAGGCTGGCTTTTTCCTTAGGAGGTTTTGAACAGTTTATACCGAACATGAAAAAATCAGATAAGAAATGCTCCTTTTTCTTAGTATTTTTCATTCTTTTTTTTATTCTAAAGCTTTGAAAGGAAAATAATTTTACCAGTTGTCAGCCAATAAATGCTTATTCAGCAAGTAATGAATGCACTATTTCCTAATTAAATAGTTTCGTTATAGGCAGCAGCTTGTTGCTAATGATCAATAAATCCCATTGAGAAGAAAACATTTTAATCAGTAAGTTGTGTCCTCTGAGTGTCAGTCACTCTATAAAATCACAAGATACATATATATGTATAGTATATGTATATGTATGTGTGTATATATATATGCATATAAATATAAAAATCGCATACTCTTTCTGGGTGATATGTACAGTCAGTATAACATTACAGCATAAATACACAGGGAATCTGTTTAAAGTTTCTCTAATTTGAGAAGCTTTGAGTAATTCTGTTTTTTGGAGGGGGGTTGGAGTGGGGAGGGAGGAAAGAATAAAGAGTATTTTCACTTTAAGGAACGCAGAGTAGTTCCCTTAAGTTAGAATCTAATTACATACAAGATTTAAAGGCAACAAACTCCCCAGAGGAACAGCCCTATGTTATACACCATAGACATGGGGTTAAAAGGGCAAAAGAGCATGATTATAATAATACTTATATAGTACGTTTCATTCCCTTATAGCACTTTGCAACCAGAAAGTCTTACAACACCCCTGTGAGGTAGGTAAGTATTATTATCCCCATTTTACAGATGGGTAAACTGAGGCACAGATAGGTTAAATTATTTGCCTAAAAATCATGTAGTAAGAATCAGGAATAGACCCCAGGAGTCCTGATGGCAAATCCTCTGAATTAACTGGTAGACCACTCTCAAGTGAATGCCTGAGACACCTCTCAATGAATGGAGAGAATATATTAGCCCATATTTACATGGATACATCGTCATCCTTTTGACATGTCGTCTTTACATATTCTGACTTATTTAGAGGAAAGATAACAACGGCCATAGATAAACTTCACTGTAACATGTTGCTTTAATTCTTGTTGCCAACCCCATGTGTATTTTGACTCCTTTACAGCCTAGGATGTAACAATGTCAATGACAATACACCTTAAATACATTCTTGATATCTTTGCTTCTCCAAGGTGAAAAGTACAATTACTCTTCCTTAAAGTGCAATGGCTCATTACAGAAATCTCAGGATTTTCCATGAAGTCCCACCAAACCCAAATACAAACAGTCTGAAGGTGAAAAAGAAAGAACTTGTCTGTAATGACGGACTTGTCTCTATATTCCATAAATACCTTCTCACATTCTATCGAGGCTGAAAGTTTAGTAATAAATAATAATCTATGTTAGCGTGTAAAACCTCTAATACTTTTGTACAGCCACACATCCCCTTTCACCCCGCTGTCATTTCTTTGGCCTGAAGCTGATGGATACATCAGCTGTAAATATTCCGTTGCCCACAGGAATGAGGATATTTCTATTTTCTAGTAGATGCTTTTTATTGGTTCCTGTACTTCTTGTCCTTCCCCAGTAATTCAACTGTTCCATCTGAGAAAATGAAAGATGGACACTGACTAGAAAGGATTCAAAACTTCAAAATTTATGTACAGATCCAGAGGCAATTCCTTTCCCACATTCTTAATGACACTGTCACAGCCACTCTGCATGGCCCAGTTGGCATTGTATTTAGTAGTAGTAGTAGTAGTAGTAGTAGTAGTGTATTTTTGGAGTAATATTGATGCACAGAGTTTCCAATAAGGCTGCTTAGCTCAGTGTTCCTGGGGAAAAGGTAACCTATCCCACTACCTTAAGAGAAACTTTGCCAGCGTAGACGGTGCTTGGGGGCACTACACACAAACGTGATGCACTACTTCTATGGCGAGTTTGATTGCGGTATTCAAAGCAGATTCTTGAAACATACTAAAAAATTAGTCCTTTTATTAACAGTTTACAAACAGAATCCATTACTTTCTAGTTTCCTGAAGGATAGAACAAGCCATTTCTCTCATTATTTTGACGTCATTTCCTTCTCTGTTTTTTTGTATTTCTGCTGATAAGCAGTTGCAAGTCCCAGAGGGAGGGCTTAATGTGATAAACAGGTAAAATGTTGCTAATTTGATAGTTTACTTTGCAAAAACTTTCCTCTTCAAACGATGGGGATCCCACAAGTTCCTATTACCTTGACTCAGAGTTCATCATGAAGAGTGTAAGGATCATTAATCTCCATGGAAAAAGAGACTTTTTTTTAAGTAAAAAAATATCAAATATAATAAATTTATGAAAGACCATTCACAACATATACAGTAAGTGTTACATTTTGCTACAGCAGCTGTGATTTTTTTTTTTTTCTTTTTAGAATGCAAGGTCATACATCGCCATAAGTAAACACACTAGTATGAGTAAGACCTTAAATGAATGTATACAGCCAGGCTTTATCTGTGGATTAGATATACACTGTGTTTACTGTTTTACAGTCTAGCATATTCATATTCACACCATTGATATAACAGCTATGACCCTGCAAAGATTCTTCCTGTGTATATATAAATATAAATATTGAGCCAAGTCAAAAAGAGCAGGGTCAAAGGTTATATGACTTATTAGACTCCTGAAGTTAAGGGCAAAAACTCCATTGTTTCTTTTGCAACTAAGGTTTAATAAGAAGGCTGCTTCAATCGTTGTGTAGTTACAGCATTACATTCTGTAAACAATATTTTAAAGCATTCTAAGCAAACATTTAAACGATTGATTCTTTATCCCTGTCTGGCGAGAGCAGACAATCTATAGCCTCATTGCTTTTGCTCGAGTCTGTCATCTTCAGTTGGAGATTATCACTCGTACCTCTGGTGACGCTGTCGTAGGATGGAGGGAAAGAAGTGGAGGACAGAGTTTCTGATTTGTCTATTGGCCTGCCGTAGTTTTCGTTCATCATGAACGCAATAAGACCCTCCTTCTCGGGTGCATCGTCCTCGAGGATGCTGCTGTCAAAAGTTCTGTGCCGGTACAAGTAAGATGCCTGCTTCATGGAGCGCCGAAACAAATGTCTCCTGTAGGCCCGCTGGATGACGATGGCAGAGACCTCTTCTTGCTTCCGTCTGAGAGTTGTTGTAATTGGTTCGTAAGAGATCTTAGATGGATTCGCTGCCATGAACTTTTCTTCCATCTGTATTTTAAGGGCATCCATCTCTCCGGATTCTCCTAGCACCCTTTTTGTAAAAGCAAACAAAATATCCAAGCAATGGATCCTATCTCCACTGACCATGGGCAGGTCCATTGCTATGAGTTTGATTTTGTTTGGTTTTGCTATGCGCAAAGGTTCTGACAGTGCATCTGCAAAGTCTGAAAGTGCAGAATACTCAATAAACTGAGTGGCTTCAGGGTCAAACTTCTCCCAGATTTCATAGAACATATCAAAATCATCCTCGCTTAGAGGCTCTGTACTTTCCTCAGTGGCTACACTGAAGTTCTCTAAAATAATGGCTATATACATGTTTACAACAATGAGAAATGATATAATGATATAAGTAACAAAGAATAAAATCCCTACAGCAGGGCTCCCGCAGTCTCCCTTCGAACCATTTGCATTCGGTAGGTTTGGGTCGCAATACGGTGGTCCAGTGTTTAAAATAGGGTTGAGAAGACCATCCCAGCCAGCTGACGTTGTGATTTGGAAGAGACAGAGCATGCTGTTAGCAAAGGTTTGGAAGTTGAACATGTCATCAATCCCATGCTCCTTCTTAACGTAGGCAAAGTTAGCCATGCCAAAAATGGCATAAATGAACATGACCAGAAAAAGCAAGAGGCCAATGTTGAACAGAGCAGGTAGGGACATCATTAAGGCAAACAGGAGAGTTCGAATTCCTTTGGCTCCCCGGATGAGTCTTAGGATCCGGCCAATACGAGCCAAGCGAATGACTCTGAAGAGTGTGGGAGAGAAGAAGTATTTCTGAATGATATCAGAAAGTACGGTGCCTTGAAAAGAAGAGAGACAAATGGCAAGTTAGTACATGGGAAAGAATCCCAGGCTTCTCTTTTAAGCTTTCAATCAAGATTATGGACAAAATTAATGAGAAGTTCCCCAGATTGGAAAACCCATGATAAAGGGAATGGCATTGACGTTAGTGTTTTCATGCCCATTTAATCCATGCAAACTTTGTTGAGACTATGAGCAAAGTTGTCAATGGTAGTGGCATTTTTATTAAGGGAAAGCTTGTCTATTGGGAATGAGAAACCAGGATCAACTCAGACAGGACCCAGATGTCTGCAGCTTTTGGTCATGACCCACCTGAGAACTTTATCTGCAGTGCAGCTGGTCAGAATTTTTCTGATATGGCAGTATTTTTGTCTGGAAAATGTTAGTGAGTCAGCACTGAAACGCTGGTGAGCTGGGCCTGTTTTTCTGAGCCACCACCAGAATGGTGCAGGTTTCTACTGGAAATCCACTTGGTTGGTTGGTTGCTTATTATTTTTTCCAGTTTCCCTGATGGGCTGGGAGGGAACTAAGGGCTCAGATTGTACTAGCAAGCAAATGAGCTCGCACTCCTGTAGCTAAACTCTTCCTGCAGAAACAGAGCAGCTTGGTTCAGATTGTCTAATACCGACAGTCCCTGGCTGCACTGAGCCGTGCCCAGCTCATGTTTCCCAGCCCAGCCTAGGGGAGGGCTTACTGGCATGGCCTAAGTCCTCTGACGCTGAAACAACCTGGTTGATCATGGGGCAGAACTATGACCAACGTGAGAGCTCTGGTTAACTGGCTGCTACAGGCATATCCAGAGCATCCATCATCAAGGCTCTGATGGCAGCTGCATGGTAGTCGTGTTCCCTGGGTGACTCAAATCTCTGAAATCCAGGTAGTCTTGGCTGATCCAAGGCCCCAAAGCACAGGCTGCTCTCTGGTTCCTGGTGACCTCCTGCATTGGAACATTGCAGGCTCCCTGGTCCACCAGAGAGAATTTAGAGCAACAGGAGCAACAGTCAATGAGGAGATGGCTCTGTTTTCCTAACATGGACACTTTTTCATTCACCTATTCCCGCTTTCAAAATGTAAACTTTTTTGGATGAGATGAATTTCTGACTTCCTTCTGCTCACTGGATCAGTTGATCATCTTCCAGTTGTTACTTTATTTTCAACTTCAATGAAAACTCTTTTGTCAGGATTTCAGATCCATGTTTGACCTGTACTTCTGTAGCACCTAATATACGATCTCTGGTTGGGGCTGCAGGACAGCAAATTAACAATAAAACCATATCTCTCTGTTTCGTCCCTTGGGTAGATGAGGGTGTGGAGCTCCAGTGACAACAGGGCTGAGAACAGCCAAACTCACTGCAACTGCCCTGAAAGGCTATTTATTACTGATGTAATAAAAAGTAAATAGCAAAACAATAGCAATCTGCATGTGCCCTTTTCATATGTCTTTTTACTTCTCTGTCTTTGGCCATTGTGCTGAACTGGGCTTAAGTGTATGTTCCAGTTCTGGACCATGTTTTATTGCCATGAATCATTAAGTGTACATTGAAATCAATAGTGTAGTGTGATAAATCTCATCATTTTGCTGATCACACAAGTTATTGTTAGGCACTATTATGTTGTATCATTTAAACATTAAAAAATATGCTTAGGATCCAATTGCCTGAGTTGAAGGTATATTTTATTGCATGAAGCCTTCAACTTTGTCTAATTAAATTTATGTCTTCCTTTTTAACTTTGGAGTTTGGGTGAAAATCCAGGTTCACCTACCTACGATAGACAGAATCACGACGACAAAGTCAAATATGTTCCAGCCATTGGTGAAGTAGTAGTGTCTCAGGGCCAGCATTTTGAAGATGCATTCCCCAGTGAAGATGGCAACAAAAAGCATGTTGATTTTATGGAGAATGTTCACTTTTTCTTGACTTTGGTCATCTGTTTCCACCATCATGGTAACCATGTTAAGGCAGATGAGAATCATAATGGAGACATCAAAGGCTTGTTTTGAGACAACATCAAAAATAAAACCTTGGTATTTGTTCTAGAGGGAAGGAGAAGATTTAGTTAGGAATTTTGAACCATGTCAAAATGCTCATGTCCTGATTGATGAGAAAGTAGAAGAAAATAGACAATATACATACCGCTTCTGACTGGAACTTCATAAACTTAAAGATGACGATGAATGGTTGTATGATAGAGTTTTCAAGTTTATTTACTCCTAATGCTTCTTGAAACTACTGAAAAAAGCCCCTGGCCTGGGGCCGTGAATTCATTCAATGCAGGCATGTGGCCACTGGCATATGTAAATTGGGTTTTTAGTCAATATTGCAGAACAGTGGGAATTTTGTACCAGAGGTGACTGGACTTGCAAATAGTGTCCAAAATAAAAAAAAATTAAATACTAAGTGTCTTTCATCTGGCTGTGATCACCCTTCCTTACACTGGGAAATTGAATTGCATTTATTCTCGGAAATAAATAAATATTCAGCTGTTACATAAAGTTCAACTGAATTATGCCATTCTTACCAGTGGCCTTGGGATTGGCTTTTGAGGTTTCTTAGATCCCAGCTTTTTCATTGCATTATAATACTTTTTCTGTTCTTCTGTCATAAAGATGTCCTGGCCACCTAAGTATAGGGTAAGAACAAAGCTATTACTGTTGATGAAAAGAGCTCCACTGCCCCCATCCCACGTTCAGGGCTGCATCCTCTTGTATTTTCTTATTTCCCTCTTCATGTAGCTTTCATCAAAATATCTAAGAAGGGCCTGATGGGATGCAGTGCTGGGAGCTGCTTATCCCTTGGAGGCGAAGGCAGGAGACAGCAGCGCAGGCAACCAAGGAGGAGCAAGGCTCGGATTCTGCCTGCAGAATCCAGGGTGAGAGGGGAAAGCAGGAGGACTTCAGCCCTTTCTTTAGAGCCTACGAAGCCGCGAGAAACACAGCGCTCAGGCCAGGCTGCTCGCCCCTGACCCTGGCTGCACCCTGGGGCAGGGAGGCGATGGGTTGAGGAGAAGGGGTCGCACGGCTGTGAGGGTCGGTGGTGCTCGTGCATGGGGACACCAGGGTGGTCCGCGCCTCTGTGGGAGGGTTTGTGCCAGAGATCGCGCCTGCACGGAGCTGCTTCACTGCTTTCTGTGGGGGATATAAACCCCCAGCCTGTATTTTCAGGGTGCTCAGCCTATAGGGCATGAGGGGCTGCTGCAGCTGTGCTTTTGAAGAAGTCCTGCAAGGCGGCTTCTGTGGCTGTTCTGCCAAGGCTGATCTCGAGGCTAATGTGGCAAAGCTCATAAATCTATCCCTTGCCCTGGTCTCTGCAGCAATCACAAGGCGATGTGTAGCATATGCACTACTTATCTTTTTCTTTTGTTGGTTAAAATTGTCAATGATGACACCAATGAAGAGGTTCAATGTGAAGAAAGACCCAAAGATGATGAAAATCACAAAGTACAGGTACATGTATAAATTACACTCCCATTCGGGCTGCTCCTCACACTGAAAAGGGAAAACGTGAAAATGTGAAAATGCCACCATCTCTGCAACATATCAGAATATTAATGCAGTTAAAGGAAAACTGTCCATTGACAATAAAGATTGTGAAACAGGAAAAACAGTGCAACTCCCACTAGCAGAGTCAACGCTCCTTGGTCTCTGAAGTTTACTACTGGCAGCTGCAATGCCACGGTCATTTTGGCTTCGTTTCACAGTGCTGTCATTGCGATCACACCGCTCCAGAAAGTGCAACTTCAGAACAAATCCTATAAAATGTTCTCAGTCTGAATCCAGAAGGGGAAAAGAATCCATTTTATGATAATCCCTAATCTTATATGAACTAATGATAGTTATAAAAAGCAAAAGTATGATCGCAGTATAATTAAATGCTACTGAAAAACACTGTATTTAGAAGTACAATTTTTCTTTTATGAAGGGTGGAAATGAATATGATCTCTTGCTGAAGAACTGAGCAATGCAGTCCGATAGCCTCAAATCACATACACCACATCTGGCAAAAATGCTCAGCTTTGCCCCAGTACCTCCAGGTATCTAACCAAGACGCCAGAAGCTCGCATTTCCCTAAATGCTGTCTTTTCTCATGTGTAACCCATGCATTTCAGTCAGGGGCAGGGAGGATACACACACGTGTACACGTAGTACAAGAACTAATAAACAACATCATAAGCTACGTTACGCAAAGGTAATTCTTTGTGCCTGTGATGCCATGAGGTTTTTCCACCTCTTATTCCTCCATGTAGGGCTCGGCTCCCTATTACTCAAATCCCCAGTGCCAGATAGCTACCTCAAAAATTAACAGCAAGTTAACAGTAAAATTACCAGTAGGTAAGTGTGATCTTGTTCCTTTAATATTATTAAAAGAAGGAAAAGAGACAACAGGTCCTTCCATAAAAAATAAACAAACCACATGTGATGCAGCAAGGGAAATGCCTTTTTTTTTTTTTTTGGAAACCTGAAAGCTGACAGGATGCAGGTAAGAATTGGGAGTCACCAGCACCCAGAGCTCCTTCCCTGCCAGGAGCTCCTCCACCCTCCTTGAGTGGAGCTGCTGGTTGCAGAGAAGAAACTTGCTCAACACGAAGATAGAGGAAGGGTTGAGTATGTGCGTTACAGGGGAATGTAATTTAAATGCAGTGCTTTTTAAGAGGTTCTGTTATCAGAAGTTAGATCCTTGGAAAATACGGCAGTCAACAGGGAGAGTGGAAGAAAGAGAGGACAATTTCGGTTTTCGGTAGACTCAACCCCACCCTGGAGGTGCCTCTCTGTGCTGGGAACTTTGCAGTATGAATAGATAGATCCGTTGTGTAGAACTGAGGGCTACACTTGCTTTAATCTCAGGGTCGTGATGCTTCAGTAGCAGGTGCAAAAACTGAAGGTCTGCAACAGTCTCAACCAGGGTAAGACAGGCACTGGCAACCTGCACGTGTGTGTGTGTTGTTGTTGTCGAACACCATGAATGCTGCAAAAGTCAATGCAAAAGGAAATGATTCGTTTCCTTGTAGTGACCTACCTCTCGTGAATCCACTGCTGCGTACATAATATCCATCCAACCTTTAAATGTGGCCTGAAAAAAAAACCCACAAAATACATAATTAAGCATATTAAGTAAGTATGTCTTGAAATGATATCATCTCTGTGATGAGTTTTCAAAATGCAATGTTGAGCATGTTCTTCACAGTTAACGAATTGCCTCTCCTTTAAAGCAATATGTATTCCTGAGTTTATGTTCATTTAGATATTTAAAATCATTCCAGAACGGTTTCCCCCCAGATTCTCTCATTCATGTTTTCTGATTTTCTGCACTTGTAGGGATAAAACAGAGGTTTTTAAAAGAGATTTTGAAAAGGGGAGAAAACACGGCAATTAAATCTTTGGAAGGTTTGACCTTAAGAATTTGAAGTAATGAAGAGATACGGCTACACAGGACAACTCAGTGCTGTCCTGCACACATCTCAGACCAGGTGAGAGGGATCCGGTCCGTATCGCTTGTTCAGACTGACAGGCAGCGACCACGCTGTAGGATCCCACTGAAGCTCGGATTCTGCCCTCTTTTAAAAGAGGGTAAATCAAGGCAATGCTAAAGCCCAGGGAGCTGCATAAATCACAGCTGACTTGAAAGGAGCAAAGGCAATTGGCATCTGCTGTGAGCCTGGCCCTGGAAACTCAATCTGCTTTACTGTTCGGATATTATTTTTTTTTTTCAAATCAGGGTTTTAAATTCTTTTTTTAAATTATTTAAACAAGAGGGGATTCTACAGACGTCAGTGTCTCTTACTGGAACCTGCAACGGAGAAAGGGCAGTGACAACACTCCTAGGAGAAACACATAGAAGTGACTTTTACTATTTTGTAGCAAAACCACGACTCTCTGCTCTCACTATATGCCTCTCATTAGACGCAGCCTTATGCCAAACATACCTGGCATTCGGTCTGACTCTGGCTTAAGTCACATTGCCTTTATATTAGTTCTCTGGGGTTGTTTCTCATTTGACTTCTGACCCATTTAGACTTACCCTGGATTTAAAATCAGTGTGAGCAGATAATGAGGCATTTTTAGATCTATTCATTTAATCAGATTTACAGTAGCATGTACGAAAGAGCCACACTCAATATTTTTTGCATCCTGCTGACACTTAGGTTGAATTTTCTCCTGGTCTGTAAGCATGCAATTCCAGATAACAGTAATAGGATTTTGGCCAGTCATCCCCAGGAGAAACCCAGACATTTGTGTTGAGCTAGGTACATCCAGCGGTTTTAGAAATGCTCCATTATACATCCTGTATTATTAAATTAAATCCTGGAGGTAACTCTGCCTTCCCATTTCCCTCTGAAGGCTACCGAGCCAAAGGAAAATGTCGTACGAGGGGTCAACCATATTTCTCATGAAAGTATTTATAAAATAATGTTTGAAAGGTTACATTCATTTTTATCTACTGGTCGAAAGAGATTAACCCCCCAAAAAAAGAACCCTTTGGAAAATCTATTTCAAGGTTCTGTGTATTAAAAAACACTTTGGTTGTAAAGTGTTTACATGAATGATCAGCAGTTTTATTGAAACAAATAGTTATTTGAACCTGTCGTGCTGATCCTCCTTAACTGTTCTATTTTATTCCTTTTTTGCTGTTCTCTTCCTAATCTGATGAAAGATTTTCTGGTGTCATTACAGTCTCTTGCAAAATGCCATTCAGGAAGGGTGGACAGGATGAAACAAGAAATCCTTTCCCCGTGGCTCAAAATGATACGACCTTAGCCTGTACTTCTCTCCTACTTGGGAGGAAATCTTTTCTCTTGAGTAGCTGTTTTACCCCTCGACGTGTACCACACACATGAGAGACCCTACTGCGAGGCACAGTGGTTTATAGTGATGACAGATGATGAAGCGATCTGACAAAAATAAATATTAAGAGAACGAAGTACTGCGATTTTCTGGGTTTCCCAGTTGTCCAGAAGTAAGAGAATTAAAAATCTACAGGGCTTCTGGGAAGCTTCCCTAGACACTTCATCTGCAGAGGGTAAAAGGTACTGAGAATGAAAGAAATATAACGCTGGGGAAAGAAATTATTTGTCTGGAATTAGTAACCACTTACACTCTGGATAAGGAAGTGACAAAATCTTCATGGGAGTGTTTGTGATATTATCCTGCCTGGAAGCTATCCAGAGAAACACCATTTTCTACTGAAACTGTCATGTGATGAGATTATCTACTGATAAACTCATCTTGGGATGGGATTACATTTTGTTATTTGACTGGTGGTTAGAGCTGCAATGCAGTAAATCGGTGGGGAGGAGGATAGGTGGGACGGCACCAGCTGCCCTCAAACCATTTATCGTATAACCAAACGGTGCCTTAAAATAAAACGAGCCTTTAAATCTGTGAGGGGGATTTTTTTTCTAGAAAAAGACTCAATAGTGCAATAAAAATGGCTGCTTTTGATGGCAGAAATACTGGTCTTCGCATTTTTAAGACGTTTATTTAAGCATTACTGTTGGTGAGGGGAACTTCTTAAAGCTAAAACGGAGCCACCAACAGTACAGCCAAACTACACCTTTTTAAGGCGGCTATGCCAGCTCCACTATCTGCTGGCTTTTCTGTTGGATTTTTCAGTTTGTTCAATTCCATCATAGCAGCAATTGCATAATGAACTTTTTTAACGTTTGTTTTGCATTAAGACCTTGTGCTGGGGAGGGCACTACCGAGCATCGGACCCACCAGAGCTCCCCAGAGGTCTGCACTGCGCTGGGCTACGTGGGCTCCAAGGGCATTGCCTCTGCTCCCCTTGGATTTCCACCAGTAGTTCCTCATGAGAGTACTGCTTAGTCCTGATCTTAGGACACATGGAGAAATCTACCCTGGTGCATCAATTTATGGTTTGTTCAGAAGCACAGATTTTTTTCACATTTTGCTTCCACGGTGAAAGTAAAATCTAGCATTACGGTTTACAGAAGTGCAAGAGATCATGTAGCTCAGTAACTTTAGACACACGCCGCCGTCTCATGACCATTTTGTAGCTGATTTACGAGCTCAGTCATGACTTTGAACCTGGCATGAGGGGTCGATTTAACTCTATAGCTCCTGATTGCTGTACTGGTCTAGGAGCGCTTCTGTTATCTTCCCATTCCTTCTCTGGAGTCCCAGAGTGACAAAGAGTTGTAGGACATATTAGATGTAAGTCTGTTACTGTCTAAGGAGAACTTTTCCAGGCAAGCCAGATGCTGCAATGAGAGACAACTTGTTTTCTTGGTGTTTCTTCAACAGCTTGCTAAAATTTCAAGATCCATTGCAAAAAAACACGTGGAGGCGATCACAACGTGAAGGGAAGGATTCTGCAAGGGAAATGCAAAACTCCTACTGGAAATTTAAGATATTTCTTTGTTCAGCTCAAATACAGATTTACAGAGCATAGGTGCTATGATCTGCAAAGCAATTCTGGGAATATAGAAACAGCATTACTGAAGCACTGGGTTGTAGCAATAATTTTCTCCTAATAGATTAGGGTGTTAAGGGTGTTAAATCCCCAGAAGAGTGAATCATCCTTCTTGCAAATTAAAAAGTTGTGATAATAAAGATCTTTTCCTCCCCGTGAATGAGGCATTTCTCTTGCTTGCAGAGTGAGCAGAGACTACCTTCTATTTTAGCAATCTGTTGTGAGGCAGCACATTTGTGAGTTGGAGAAGCTTGAAACCTGGCTGACCACTTCACATGGATGTTTTCTCAGAGGCATTAATTCAAAATGGCATCTTCAGAACAACATGATGGATCCTCAAGAAGGTAGTAAAAGCGCAGAGGATGCTTGAGGAAAGTTTCACGCAGTTCTCAACTACACTGTCAGAAAGTTTGCCTCTGGAGAGTAGTAAGCCTTGAAGTTTTCATAGTAGCAACTTTTCATTTCTTTCAAGGATGCTGTAGAAGTGAAGACAGAACATTAGGCAGACAGATTTGTTTTACGTATTTCCATTTGGATTTTCAGACACATTCAGGCATCCAAAGGTAACTTCAGAGTCATTTAAAGAGTGTGTTGCAGCAGCTGAACGTGTCAACAGTCAAAAGACAAGTCCCACTTAAAAGCTCATATTTTAGATCCCGGAGGGTTTTAACCAAAATGCTTACCTCATCATTGCTACGCACTGTCGCAGCATGCACAAAGATGGATTGACGTGTCTGTCTCTTTAGGAGAGCTGAGCTGTTAGCTGATCCCCTGCGGTCCCGACGGTGGTTTGCCCATGAAATGCGACTCCACATGGAGGGTTATTTGGCCAGGAGCACCTGTAACCGACACTCCTCGGCTGGAGTCGGGCACAGGACAGCCAGATGTTTGGGCCCCTTCTCTGTGGGCGTCATCTTTACACTTTATTGCCTAAGGCTGTTATTAACAGCGGACAGAAGTGCTCCAGGTGCAGGATGAAAACTACAATCGTCCCCTAATGGCATCTGGCTCCTGCCCTTCCTCCTGGAAGCAGGAGCCAGCAGCTGCCACGGAAGCGGAGTAAGGTTTTAGGGCTCCCTTATTTCCTGCCACAATCAGTTTGTCCAGCCTGCGCAGGCTGTACATTTACGGCACTTCTTTTGTACTTCTGCAGCTGGAAGCCTACTTCTCTGCTACCCAACACAGGATCGCAGTTTTGAAAGAAACCTGCGGGGTCACTGAGTCCATTTTCAGCTGGAAGAGAGCAGTACGAGACCGTCCCTTCGCAAACGTGCCGAGATCCACCTTATGACCAGTTGTGTTTTTGCTGCCATCACTGCTCCCAAGAGAAGGCAGTCCCACCTGCTGAATGCGACCAGTATCACCAGGGCCAAGTGCCCAGGAGCCGATACTGCAGAACAGAAGAGACTGCTTCAGGACATGCCTTAGGCAATGCCAATTTATGAAAAGTTGCAGAGTTTTAGAAAGTTGGAGCTTGAGTCTTGTAGAAGAAACGGTGAAGGAATAACTACTATTCTGACGGAGTTTTTCACGAAGTAACCTAGGCAACTGTGATGCAGTCATGGAGGAGGTAAGAAGCTTCAGGTAAGGCACAGTATTTTACACCTGGAAATTTTTGTTCGACTAGGTTGGATGTTTAAGTAAAGGACAAGGAAAGCGCTATATAGAACAGAAAATCTAATGAAAGACTTTCAAAGTGAATTAATCTACCCTGCATGAGTGAGCTGAATATCATAATTATATGCAAAAGATAAAAGCTCTTGCTGTCAGCAAGTTCAGCTTTATGTCATGGAAAGAACCAAAAGTGGTTGTGCTCATTCTAACCTTTCTGCTTTCCAGAGAGTATGAGAGCAAAGAGTCGATGGACAGTGGTCAGAAGATCTCACACTCAAGTGTATGTGTACCAGGAACAGGGTACATAAGGATAAGCATTTTTACAATAAAGGAAAGCTACTTCATGAAGCTTTTCATGCATCTGTGCCAGAGAAAAAAAGATCCGGGAGAAAGCAAATTTGCATCATGGGAAGGAGAAGGGCTGGCAGAATTGATGGGTACCCTACCACATTGCAAAGGGTGGATGTCTATATGTGACAACTGAATTGAGGTCCCAGCATGCAAGTTTTTATCGCAGAAGCAGGGAAAGCCACTACAAGTGCTTCAAGACTATAACCTCACTGTCCAAGGATGTAACCAGGGACTGGTTTCTTTCTGCATACACAAAATGCAATGCAATAAACACTCCTAGTGCGTATCCAGCCCTTGTCATCTCCAGGCTTCAGAACAAATTAGGAACAATGGAAATAGGTGTCATTACCACTGTTTCACATGAGGGCATCATAGAATTGAAACACAATGCAATCTGTCTAAAATCACTCAGCAGTCCAATGGCAGAGCCTGGACAAGAAGATGGAGTCTCCTGTAGCTCTATCCATTAGGTTGTGCTGCGTCACAACACAGTAAATCTCTGTGCATGCAACCTGTTTATCCATGTTTTACATTTGCTGCTGAAAAAGGTTGTAAAAGTGGTTTGCTTCCTTCTGTCTTTATAGATCAAATATTGCCATCATCTTTGAACCTCTTCTCTGATATGGTCTCGCCACCTTTCCAGAGAGACCAGGCTGTATAGAGTTACAGCAACCTGATCACCACCAGGTTTCATAGTTAGGTTCAGTCTGACTCATTACGTTTAGCAGGTGGAAACGAGGTGAGGAACCAGAATGAGAGGCACCAGTGTCCTTCCTGAACATCTCCATGGAAGGTGAGCAGAGGATTGTAAATTAAGATTCTTCTGTGACTCCAGCCTTATGCAATAACTTCAGCTGAGTAACTGACGGTACTGTAACTTCATTTTTTCCCAGCAGGGTATAGTGAAGTCCCAGGCAGTTCAGGAAGACCAGTGCACTCTGCATGAACACGGACATGACTTCCTAGACCACGACTCTTTGTTTCTGGAACTGAACTTTGTTCTGGATTACAATGACAAAATGGTCATTAATTCACCTCAATAGTGCAATCACCTCCCAGAGGACTACATTAGCGATGTACCAGAAACTCAAATTAAAACCAGAAGCTGCCATAAATATCTCTAGGCCAAATTAATACACCAAATATGTCATATTACTCTTGAGGAAAGGCATCCCTCTGATAGGTAAGGCTGAAAAAACCAGAAAAGCATAGAGGTTAACCCGAGCCTTTAAGCTGATGATTTCAATGGGAACAAGCAACATTTGCCCATTAACTTAGTTTCTGGTGGTCACACTTACCACTTGTAGCAGAGCCAGGTACCCAGCACCAACATTATCGAAGTTAACTTTAACTTTCGTCCAGTAAAACGTGCCTGACACGTTATAGAGTATGCAGTCACTCATGTTGTTAATGATTTTAGAGTCTAAAGGCATATCTCCTTCTGTCTTATTAATGCACTTCCCAAATTTCCCAGCAAACAGGTTCACTCCCATGATACTAAAGATAAGCCAGAAGATGAGGCAGACGAGCAGAACATTCATGATGGAAGGGATGGCTCCCACGAGGGCATTGACCACCACCTTCAGAGAAACAGGAGAGAAAAAAGCAGAATTAATGTCAGCACTTATACAGACACTTTGCTAACAAGCTGTTGTGCACCCTTGATTAACTAGGCTGAACCCTCACATGGTGACAGGTGAATAACTACAATAACTACCACCTAAGGAGCCAGACCACCATTAAAGGCTTCACACATGATTATTTTTTTCCTTTTGTAGTTGAAGAGCTAATCTGTTGGCATCCCACCCATGCGATGGTGTTTTTTCAAGAGGAATCTTTTAATTCAGGAGCAATCTGCAAAGTCATCATGACCTCTCAGATCCTGCTGGATAATACACTTCAGTCAAACCATCTCTAATAATCATACCATTAATTGGAAATGCCTGGGGTATATCACAGCGTCTCAAAATAGACCAAAAAAGATTCCTGAAATCTACTGAACTCAGGCCTCCATAGTCCTTGGGATGTGAACCCTAGCTGTTACAAATTTTGCTTGTTTAAATAACAACTGAGACATACTGTACTAAACCACCTTCCTCTGTCTGCTCAGTATGCATGATTAAAATGGTGAAACCATTCTAAATTAACAAAAAATGCATTATTTTTTACTATGACATGCTGTAACGTTCCTACACGCCAACCCTGGCAGGGCTGTAAAACCCTGTAAAACCATACGTTTTCTGAGGGAAGCACATTATCACAAAATGTAGTTTTCCCCTTCCTGTGTCAGCAGATTTCTCCATATTCACAGCTTTTGGAGATGCTGCCATTGCACAGCCCAGGCAAGGCTGACAGCATTGCTGCAAACCGCCCCGCTGTATGAATTTGTCTCCATCTCTGCCTCATGCTTTGGAGATTAAAATCTGGTAGGCAGACACTAAGCTCTTCCTCTTCTCCAGCTACATTTCTGAAACTGAGACAAGGTGATATTGATCCATAAAAATTAAATTTTATTCAATTGTGAATCTGATTATGGAAAATGTCAGCTCTTGTTTTCTCTCATATTAGTGTCCAATTTTCTGACAAGCTAATAATGTAACATTCGTTTCCCCATCATTTTTGCATTTCTGAGGAAGAAAAATACCCGGAAGAGTGAAACAGTTTTCATGCATGTATAGCAGCAGCTTAATCTACAATATACAATACAAAATTATGTAGATCTTTCAAAACCCAGATTTATATTTTGTGCATTTATGAATGAAGCTAATTTTCACACAGGAAAAGCTGCTTGACCAATTTTTTTTTTTCTTCTGTATAGGACCATTGCTGATGATTTTTCAATTTCTTTCCTTTTTTTTTTTTTTTTTTTTTGCTAATTTTATCTTTTCCTTTTGGATGTTAATCAATTTCTAACTTCATCATTTTAAGACCAAATTTACTGTGTTAACCAAAATGCCAAATAATTTCCAAATCGAGGGCTGCTTTGGTTATAGCCTCAGCCCTTGTCAAAGTAGCTTTTGTTTGCTGCTGTGTGGGACAGTAATTTCGTTCGATTTTAATCCGTGCAGCACGAAGCCACTGCACTTATGTCACATACGCTGCTGAGCCCAGCTCCCAGCCGCGAGCCCTGTGACAGGACGCAGAGGTCCCGGTTTCAGCAGTGCGAGCGACGGCCGTGCCCGCGTCCTGCTCTTTTACTTCTGCTGAATTCTGTTCGATGGCGTGTAGATAACAACACGCGGCGTGAGCCTGGAGTAAATCCTGTAACACCTCTCGGAATGAATTATTAACAGGGGGTTTCATTCTTCTCTCGCTGCTTCTGCTCTTACACCAGCGTGACGCCGTTTGGTCTGCTGGAAGCACTCCTGATTCACACTGAGGCGAGTGAGAGGACTTAAAGACCTGAATACATAAAGGCAAGTTATTATCGTAAATTCGTGTTAAAAGTTCAGCTGCAAATCTTGCCACGGAAAGGGATGAATTTCTGCTGCATCTAGGAACAGCAACATTTATAGCCCTGTGGAAGAAAAGCTTTCATACCACTTGACTTCCATCAATACTTTATAGGAGAAACCACCTTCCAGGTGACTTCTTTAGGGATAGCCTCGAAACCGAGCCTCCCTCTGCCCTAACCCACAGCGGTGCCAACCTACAGCCCGTGCCCGGCCCCCAGCTCTCCTCATCTCATGGGCCACCTCCTCAGCTGAAGCTGATTCAGAATTTAAATCCAGAGCAGGCTCGCACGGCGCGTTACCTCTCCCTTTGCTACAGCAGAGCCCACCAGACTTCAGTAATTTCAGTCCCAGGCTATAACTCCCAGCCAAGCCTGGGCACAGCTTTCGCAAAGACATCTAATTTACGGTGTCACGATTTCAAATAACAGACAAAAACTTTATTCTTAGGTAATCTATTCCTGGTGCCCTTTGCCCTTACTGTCAGAAACAGATGCTGTGTTTTTAGGTTGAATTTGCTGAACTTGAGGCATCTGCTGTTAAACATCTTCTCCTATCATCCCTGTCTGCACTGCGGGCGACTTAGCACTGAACTTCGGGTAAGTAAAAAAACGGAACTTCTTTCTAACTGTTGTAGTTGCTTCAGATTTCCAGTCACACTGCAAAGACTCTCGCTTTTAACACCCCATTCGCACCAGTTTGCTGGAATTCCCGTATTGAAGCACTGCCCTCTCCCTCTGCTTGCTGGGTCATTTCGCTGCGTATTGAGGGAGTGCAAGAGTCACCTCATTTATCAGACCTGCCCCAAAGAACGTGTCCTTAGGATCCCTAAGTCCTTCTTAGCTGCTGTTTTCCAAGAAACGTCCCCCGGAGTGACCTACTTTCCTCCTACTTTCCTGAGGTGTACGATGTATGTGGTTTTATTAAAATGCATGTTGTACCATTATCTGCTTTTCACTGTGATCCAGATCAGTCAGTATATATATATAATTCCCTTATCTGTAATATCACTTACTACTCCACTCACTTTGTCTGTTGTCAGCAAAGATTTTATATTTTCTTCCAGATGCTGTTAAAGTCCAGATTAAGGACAGTTCTTATTCTGAAGGATCCCTCACCCTGAGACACTCATCACCGAATTTACAGTGTCATCACTGCTTACAATTAGTTTTCGAGATCCATCACCCATTTAAAATGAATTTGAAATATGTTTACTCGGCTTGGTGCAAAGCTCATGTTTTCATCACAATGTCCCGTGGTATCAGATTCCTCTCTGAAATCTAAGGATATTATATCAGCACAGTTACCGTCATCAGCATAATTTGTAATCAAATCAAAGGACCATATCAGTTTTACAAGAACTATTCCCATGAAATCATGCTAACTAGCGTTAATTATGCTATTTCTTTCCTGCATGTATCTTGTAGCAGCCTCACCATGACTTTGCCTAGTATCATTTTCACGTTAAATGGTCTATCATCATCCCACTCATCCTTTTAAAGTACTCCAATAACCTCTCTTGCTGGGAAGCAACTTGCAGGGAACTGGCACCTCTCAAATAATTCCCTGAGGGACACCAAATGAGGAGACATGGAAGAGTTCATGACTGGGGACAGGCAGACCTAAGTACACTTACAGTGGGCTCTGATATGGCCTGGAAAGCAGAGGGTGAGGCAGGGTTGCGGCATGTACATGGCACCCCCAGGGTCTCCAGTAACCGTCAGGTGGGATACTGGTCTTATTGGGGTCTTTTTGGGGGATGGAGGGACAGGATGGCAACAGGTTAGACTTATTTTGCAGACCTCTCATGGGATGGCAGCTGCTGAGACGTGTCAAGGACTGAAGTCTGATGGTAACAGGTCCTCTTGGCCACCCAAGTTCTACTCTGTGCCTTTGCCTCAGGACTAATAGTTTCCAAAATTTAGGTACGTCGTCAATGAAATAAGTCTCTTACTGCAGTATAAATGAGAACTTTTTTGCTCCGGTTCTAGCCATGCAGAACAGCTATTCAAGAAAAAGACATTATAATAGAGCAAACTATTATTATTTTCTTACTGTCAGTGTTTGGTTCTCAACATTATCATTATTTAATCCACCTCTGCGCTGGCAATTTTCCTGTGCATTTTCAAGCATATAAAGTCCTAATAATAAAAGGTCTAACTGTCCCTAGTCGTGTTAAGTGTGGTTAGACAAACTAAAAACAAAATGAGTTGATTTTCCAATAGCACGTATTCTCAATTACACTTTATCATGGTTTACAAGCTAATTCACTACCTCTGATAGCTCAGAAAGAATATAACTCAGCTGCAGCAATGGTACAGGGAAGAGAAGGGGTGTTGAGTCAGGGACCGGGGGGCCTACAAGTATCAACATGTTAGGAAGGAACTTGCTGGGCTGATGTGTATGTCTACGCCACATAGGAGCTTCCCCAAGGCGGACTCTTATCAGAGAGAGATGTAAACCTTTTCATGCTATTCCTTTCCTATTTCAGTCTCGCTTTTCTGATGCTTTGGATTAGCCTGCCCACTTCTTTTCAGTTTTGAATCCAATTTAGATAAACTGATGTAAAGTCATGAGTGAACATTCTTATGTCAGCTTAGAATATGTTACAGGTCTCGCCTGAACTTGCAATTCCGCCAGTAGAAGCTAAGCCTTCATAAGCCAGATATAAATTGATTTGTGAGAGTCCGAGCACAAATCACTTTGGTAGTTAAACCAGTGCAGCTTTTGCCGATATCAACGTTTGCTCAATTTACATATGTTTAATAAAGACTTGGAGTGAGGTCATCAGATGACTTAGGAGTGAGAGCTTTAATTAATGTCAGTAGTGCAACATCATTTTGTGCCAGCTGAGGATCTGCAGTTTGCTTTTGTTTTATTTTGTGAATAACCTTTAAAATATTGCCCATGTTTGCTGAAAAGAGTGTGGTAAACAAAACAATTCAGGTTTGGGCGCCCGGATGAACAGAGCCTCTTGAACCTTTTTGTTTTAGTACTAACGCAGAGGAGAGTGGTCTGCAGCTAGATTTGTCTGATCTTCAACCACAAAAATAATGTGATTTAGATAATCACAAGGTCTGTGGGACAAAGCCATAGATCCCCAGTTCTGGTCATCCACAGAACAGGCAGAGCATGGGTACAGGGTTTTCATAAGTTGCTCTGTCACCATATTTCCTGGGTTATCTCGGTTGTTAGGCTCTCGAGCCTTCAGTCTGTCTTACTGCAAAGATATTGCAATGAGAACAGTTAATTACTAGGAGCTCAGTGCATGAACTACACATTTTAGTCACTGATGATTCAGGCCAAAATTTTGTCTGCAGG